GTTGGATAAAAGGGGAGTGGGGGGGAGAGATTTTCTGTTTGAAAAGATCCAGAGGATAGAGAATTACATTACATACAATTTGCTGGGAGATAACGAGAGTTAGAAAGAGTATTTTGGAATAAGGGTAAGATGGAAATGGGAACAATTTTATAAAAATTTAGTCAGGACAGGAGAAGACACGCACCTCTGCGCCTTTAGTAAAAGTTAATTCAACCATTTGAAGCGTATAAAGTCTGACCACGCCAACCTTGTTGCACCGGCTAGTCCTGTTCATTGTCTTCTTTATTAACCAAATGTCCGTGCGGTGCAGTATAAACTGGGACCGGAAAGGTTGACCCTTATCGGAAATTCAACTGTACTACGGCTGCCCGTGAAGAATACAATAAAACAATCTTTTTAAAACAAATTTTTAGAGGGAGGGGAGGTGGGGGATCAGGTGTATTTAACTGTGACTGCTCAGAAAATGAATTGTTAGTTTCTAACAGTCCTGATATAAGTAAAATGGCCTTCAAACCCTATTCCTTCCCCTAACTTACTTCACACACATTGCATAATAGTACCGGAGATAAGAGTGCTTCTTGTAAGAAAATAATGCAACAAAAAAAAGAAAAAAATAACAGTATAAGAAATATGGAAACATGATATTTCTGTTTATTAATATATATATATCTTCATGTATGTGTAAGGTTACCAACAAAGGATAAGACTTCAGAGACACAATTTATAAAGTCTGTTTCTTTATATTCTTGATTCCCTGCAACCCCATAGTTTCAGTAGAAGTAAATATTTCCATTTACTGATAGCGCCGATTGAATATTCATAACTCTAATTGAATAATGAGATAGATAGAAAGATAGATGTTACCGCCAAACTATTGCTATTGGTCCAGAATAGACAACAAACACATGACTGAACCCTGATTGGATCAGGCACTAATTGACAGGAGTGGCAAATAATAAACTTGTTTCTTTGTTTCTTTCTTTGCCTAATCATTGATTAAGCCAACAAAGACATAATTTAACCTCGTCTTTATGTCGTCTTTACATTTCCATCCTTTGTGAGTAACCCTGTATTTGGTTTGTCTGTTTGTATCCAATAAATTAGTTGAATCTATCTCGGCCCACATTTTGTAACGCACATGACCCTTATGAAGGAAGTTATGAATTGTTATCGGAGAGTTTGTTATTATTAAAAAACTGCCTCAACATGATATCTATCGAGAAAAAATGTTAGAACTAAATTAATAAAAAAAAATCCGTAAAAATCTCAAAATTATTACTATAGAAAATAGGAAAAATTTGGTGTGCTGGCAAGGCTGAGTTCCACATGGCTAGTAATGTACATATCTGATACTTGTCTAAAGTACTTTATACCATACCTAACCCTATAGAAACTTATTCAATACCAAAGATCATAAAACATCCCCC